TGTGAGCTCTCTATATCCAAATCAAATCCACCATCAAGGAAAAGGAGAGACTCAACGAGAATAACTACGTTTATTCGAGTTGAAAGAGCAAGTGACTCTCCCACGAAAAGAAAAACAAAACGAAAAGGGAAAGAATGTTATTGCAGATAACATTCTTTCAAAATGGAAGAGAAGAGCGATACGTGATCGCTAACACCTCCCCTGTGCCAGCGCGAAGCAAGAGAGAGAAAAAAATGAAGAGTTCAACGAACGATGGGACCAGACTGGCTGGAAGCCAGTGGTGGAAGAGCAGATTGCAGAGCGGTTGTGAGAGTACGCATCAGCTGAGTATTAGTATCCAAATGCTGAGAGAGAGAAAAAATTTGTTCATTGGGCGAAGAGTTGACTGGAGTAGGCGATCGTTCCAGACGAGTTAATTGCTTACGAAGACGTGACTGACGTTGTGTACGAGAAACCGATTGCCATCGAGCCCATCGACGTAACAGTTCAGGCGCAAAAAAGATCAAAGCACCAAGCAAAAACATCAGAAGGAGATTAAGACTGAGAAGACCGACAAGTGAGAATAAGAGACGACGTTTAACAACATGATGATTCAGCTGAGCAATATAAGTATTATTGTAACTGGTACCAAGATGAGAATACCATTGAAGATAATAAGCATGAAGGTTTTGTTGAGTAAGACACTGGCAGTTACAATTGTTCAAATTCTCATGACATTCACAATGAGGAGCCACATTAACCTGTGGTGAACACGGAGGACAGACTTGACAAACAGTGCAAGTACCACAAAACCAAGAACGAAGACCAGCAGAAGAAGTAGACGGAAGAAGACCAGAGAGCAATAAAAAGAAAATAAGTGAAGTAGCACCGACACCCATGAAGCAAAATTTGTTGGAATGACGCGAAAGAAAAACCAGACACGACGAATACCAACAGCACCAGCCCACCATGATGTGGAGAAAATGTAAAGGAAAACGAGTAAAGATGAAAACGAAAAATCGTAGAGAATGTGAGAAAGAAAAGAGAGAATGTGAACGAAAAAGAAATTAAATCAAGTTCTCACCAACATCCACAAGTACCGGACGTAAATCAGACACATGATAAGAACGTTCAGTACCAGTAGTTAAATTACGAACAGTGTATGTGGGATGATGAAGATCAATGATGATTTGAGGATCAGCAGAGTAACGCGGATCAAGTTTCGTACGAGAAGTGAAGATCTTTGTGAAAACAGGATCACCCACTTTATAATGAGGATCCCTACGACGATGATCATACCGAATTTTACTGGAAGATTGCTGAGAGAGAATATTGGCTTTGGCCTGTTGATGGTAGACATCAAGTACCCTTTGAAGATGAACAAAACAATCGTTAGGGCGATCAAAAGAAAATTCACGCGGTGGATCATCAATCGGAAGTTGAGGAGAACGACCGAACAAAAGTTCAAACGGCGAAAATTTCGTAGTTTTATGTTGAGAAGTATTGTAAGCAAAGACGACAGCATCCAAGTAAGCATCCCAATTATTGTGATGTTGTTGATGGAGCTTGGAAATTTGAATAACCATAGACGCATTGAAACGTTCGACAATACCATTCGACTGTGGATGGTAAGGAGTACTGAGAATATGATGATAACCGAGAAGGTGTTGAAAAGCGCGCATAAGATGGTTGTTAAAATGACTACCTTGATCGCTAATAAGTGTAGAACAAACACCATACTTACAAAAGACATGACGAAAAAGAGTAACGGCAGTGATATTAGCCGTATTCACTGGCAAAGGCACAGCAGTGACAAATCGAGTAAATAGATCAGTAACCACGAGAACATATTTATTATCGCTGGAAGACATCACAAAAGGACCACAATAATCAATACCAATAATCGAAAACGGAACAGCTGTAGGTGCCATAGGATGAAGATATCCAGGTGGCTTTTCGCGAGAAAAATTGTATTGCTGACAGGCAACACAAGCGCGGACATGTTGTTGAATAGAGTGACGCATACGGGGCCACCAATAGCGAGAGCGGAGCTTAGAATACATTTTGTCCACAGAAAAATGACCACCTTGGTATGGATCATCGTGAGTAGCAATGAGAAGAGAATTAATCATTGAAGACGGCAAATAAGGTATAGCTACTGTACTAGTAGATGATGAAGTAGGAGAAACTAGTTTATGAAGAATATTATTTTGAAGTGTAAATGAAGAAGTAATAGATGATGGAGCAGTACAATCAGTCAATTGATGACAGATACGAATAATATCAGGATCACGTTGTTGAGCATCTAGGAGCAGAGATGCATCGAATGTATTCGGCGACGGAACGGTAGAGAGAAACAATGCCGACGAGGTAGACGAAGCCGATGAGTGAATCGAACGATCATCAGGATGGTCAAAATCGAGATCTGTAGCAGAAATATCAGAATCGAGATCCGTAGCGTAGTTGTCCGAATCGAGACCCCTCGCAGAAGTAACGGAACCGAGGTCGTCGTCTGACATGATGGAATCATGATCATCATCGGATAGAAAAAGCTCACGTGAAGCAACAGCAGGTGGATGGTGAGGAATCGGTTTTGAACGAGGACGTAGAGTCATCGCTGATAATTGTTGAAGCGAATGACCACCTTGAGGATTATCAGATGCACCGTCGAGGGGAAGTTTACTTTCAAGACCATATGGAAGATCAAAAAGTGGATCATCAAACGGACGAGAAAGAAAATCAGCGAGACAATTCGCTTTGCCATCGATGTGTTTCATTTCGACTATTTGGTATTCTTGAATTAAATTAGCTACACGTTCAATACGACGATTGTTGACAGGTTTCTGAAGCATACCACAAATCGGACAATGATCCGTATGAATATAAACAGGACGACCTAGAACGAGCGTGCGCATGCGTTGTAAACAAAGAAAGATGGCTAACGCTTCCTTTTCCGGAACCGAATATTTCTGTTCAACAACCGATAAAAGTTTCGAATGATAAAAAAGATTGTGACGTTCACCATTAATATCTTGATATAAAACACCACCAGTAGCTATCCCACTAGCATCAGTAGCCAGTTGAAGAGGAAATCCCTCAATAGGAAAGCGAAGAAAGAGAGGCGCAGATGTGAGTAATTGTTTAAGTGCACGGAAAGCCGCGGATTGTTCAGATGACCACTGAAAAAGATGTCGACGAGATTTCGTAAGATTGGTTACCTTATGAATCGGTGCAGCAATATCAGCAAAACCTGGAACAAATTTGCGATAATAAGCCAAGCCACCCAAAAACTTGTTAGCTTCTTTAAGAGTACGAGGTTCCGTCAACGCTAAAATATCCTGAATAGCATCATCAGTGGGTGTGATAGTTGTCGCAGTAATTTTATGACCAAGAGCAATCACCGATTCGACAGCTAATTCACATTTGACAACGTTGAGAACGAGTTTTGCTTTTGAAAGAACATCAAAAACCAATTGCAAATGATGTAGATGCTCATCGAAGGTTTTTGAAAACAACACAATATCATCCAAATAAACAATACTAAAGTCGCGACAAGGTTTCATGATTTGCGACATCATTTTCTGAAAGGCGGCCGGCGCATTCTGTGGACCCATGGAAAGAACTAAATATTCGTAATGACCTTGAGAGACAACAAAGGCGGTTTTAGCGCAATCAACAGATGGTAAACGGAATTGATGGTAGCCCGACTTTAAATCAAGTTTACTGAAACATGTATATCCCTTGCCCAGTTCTTGTAAAAGATCTTCTCCATGAGGAAGAGGACTAGCATCAGGAATAGTGATCCTATTAAGCGCACGATAGTCCACCACCAGTCGACCAGGACGATCATCTTTACGAGGCACAATGAAAGCGGGAGCCGCATAAGGAGAATTGGATTCACGAATTAGACCAGCTTCCAGAAATTCATCAATAAGGCGCCGAGTCTCTTCGCGAGTGTGTGGATTACGATGAGGCCGAAAAGCCGGAGGCGTATGTGGAACGGTATTAAAGACATTTTCAATGACAATATCAGAAATATTATGGCGCGAATTGTCAAAAAGAGGAGTATACCGGTTTAGAAGAAGAGAAAATTGACGTTTACGATAAGGATCAACTAAATGATGAACCAACGCTGCCATAGGTTGCGGTAATTCAGGTGTAGGCAACATTGCAGAAAGATCGGCAAGCAATGGAGAAGGTAATGAGCATAATGAAGGAGATGCAGATGTAGGTAACGGCGCAGGAAGATCGGCAATCGATGGAGAAGGTAATGAGCCGAATGAAGGAGATTCAGTGGAAACAACTATAGCAGGAAAAAGTTGCGCGTTCTTCTTTTCATTTTGACGACGGCAGAGAACCGAAAGTTGATCGATATAAGATGGAAGCTGCGCCTGATGGCTAAGTAAATAACCCAAACAGAAATGCCGAGGGATCTCGTGTGGTAGAGATGAGTGGTTCAACACCCGAAGAGAGGAATAATGATGTTGAACTTGAATGGTAAGCTGCGAACAGGACAAAGACGAATGAGTAAAAAACGTAGAAGCCGGAAGAAAATATGCCGATAAACAAGAAATAGGACACGAAATCATAACATCGACACTTGATTGAGGAGGAATACAGGTAAATCGAGCAGCACGAATTGGAACGAGTGGACGACGTAACGGATCATCAACAGGAATAATAATACGTTGATTAGCAACGTTAATTGAGAGTTGCTGCGAATGGATATCGATAATGGCATGAAAGGCAATCATAAAATCCATGCCAAGGATAAGATCAACGCAAAGTTTCTCGGCAGTGAGTGCATAAAAAGAAATACAAGCATTGTTAATGTTCATAGAAAGTTCAACGAGACCAGTACTACTAAGCGGCAAAACTCCATCGGCTAAAAGAAAAGAACGAGATTGACGATCAGCATAACGAACATTGGAAAGCTGTTGAAGTACTTGTAAATTAACACAAGTAGCAGAAGCACCAGTATCGATAAGAGTATGTAAGAGTGTATTATTAACGAATAAAGTAGCATAAAGAAGAAAGGGTTTGGATGGATGAAAAGCAGAAACATGGGAGGCAGCACCATCCGACACTGACTCCGACTTCAGAAAGGACAAGTACGAGCTGAATGACCAGGGTTAGAACAAAGTTGACAACTAATAGTAGGTGTCACAATGGAAGATGGTGGAACAGTTGGTGGTGATGGTGTAGAAGTGGTATCTGGTAATGACATGAGTGGAGGCAGTACATCCGAGGATGACGAAGACGGAAACATTGGAGTTGGCGAAGGTGGAAACATTGAAGATGGTGATGACGATGGTTGGAAGACAGAAAGATTCTGACGCGAAGTACTGAAACGACGATTGAACNAGGAGAGACTCAACGAGAATAACTACGTTTATTCGAGTTGAAAGAGCAAGTGACTCTCCCACGAAAAGAAAAACAAAACGAAAAGGGAAAGAATGTTATTGCAGATAACATTCTTTCAAAATGGAAGAGAAGAGCGATACGTGATCGCTAACAATTCCTTAGTTCGTCATCGTTATAGACGACGAACATATCGGTCGATTGGAATCGAAATAAACTAATCTCTTTCCTTGATTCGCTTTATTCTTCTTATTGATTCTGTCTGGCTACAATAGGCAGGTCATTGAAAAAATTGACCTCATTGTGCTTTATTTTTCTCCTTCTCTGTATTTAATAATGGAGAGAGTAAACTTTTGCTCGTATTTCAGGAAATACAAAATATGCAAGCTGAATACTCCAAGAATACTCGACGTTTTTTTAAGAAACTGGTATCTGACATGGATGTTATACCTGCGATTGAACAATTAATAGCTGATCATGTTTTGGCAAATCGGGAACTGTTAGAAGAAATATTCAATGCTGTCAGTGAAGTAACCACTGAAGAAAATCGTACACGTTTAGCCAAAATTGTCGCAAATATTTGTATCGATGATAAAAGTGTACGAATAATTGAAGAACAATTAAAAGCAAATGCAGATGAATTGGATACGAAAAAAATATTTGTCAAAGAGATATTGATGGAAATTAGTAAGTCATTCTGAGATCATTTGATGTCAAAAGGTTTCATTCTATTATTTATTTAGGTAAACTTATTCAAACATTTCAATTTGCTTCATGTGATAGCAATCTCTGCAAATTCTTCAAGGATGTTATTGGTCTGATGTCTATTGTCATGAAATAATCAATGTAAAACGCATCGAGCGATTATGAATTGTTCAATGCCTAGTAATCTTTCCTTGTTGAGTTTTTTTATTAAATGTGCAAATAAACTAATTTTCATTAGAGAAGATAACCAATCTTCAATATTTGTCAAGCATCAATACAGCCAACGACAAATGCGTCTGAGAAAAGTGAAACAAGCATAATGATGATTACTCTCATACTCAGTTATATCTTCGAGCAATCCTAAGATAATTTTTCTTTATTTCATTTGCAAGTTGTTTATCAACGTTTATGTAACGAAATATCATTTTGATATATTGTATAGTATGAACGATGTTCTTGCTATTTAATCGCTACTGTGACGAATAGAGAGACACATAAGAATGCCTTTATTCTCGTCGAAGACTTGATGTTTATTACGCTGTGTACTATATCCAAATGTAACTATTTCACGTACAACATGAACTTATAAACTAGAGAGGAAGAGAGAGAACATTGAACAATACATTTAGTTAATTGAAGAACAAAAAAGAGTTAGGGCAGACAGATTCATTGCGTAAGATAATGATGAGAATGATTGGTTTAATATTAACCATAAGAATATCTTCGCATGTTTATATTTTTTACATATTCAGACTTTATTCTATAGATTGGATCAACAAATAAATGACTTTTACGTTTTTCGCTAAATTATATGTCGTTTATCAATGAACACCATATGTTCAAAGGATAGTTTTCAACAAATTATTTCGCATTTGTTTTCATATATAAAAAACGATCGTCATTGTGAGATTTTAGCCGAACGATTGTGTAGACAATTCAAACAAGCATGGTATAAACTAACCTCATAGAAGATCTCATTAACTTATTGTTCCCTTTTCTATGAATTTAGTGGTGATGATCGGAAACGAGGAAATATCGCTTTTTGTCTCAGCAAATTGAATATCAAAACATTGGCATCGTATCGTATACTGAAAGAGAACTTTCCAAATGTTACCGAAACGAATGGACAGACTGAAGATGATTATGATGAAGAAGAGCATTTAGCATGGAAAAAGTATCTCATGGTAAGATTTCAACAATGAAGTTTTGAGTGTTCGTATTTTTGTGTGTTTAGCCTGTGCTCACTGACATTGAACGACGTTTGAAACCCATGGAAATCAATTCTTCTCGACGGGTTTCGACTCCTACGACGCCAAAACGAAAGCTCGATCGTTTATCATAACATGTCAGATAGTTTCATTGAGTTTCTCGTTTCTCTGTATTATGTAGTTTAGAATATGTTTTCATACTGTAAGTCTTTTCCAATCAAGAAAAAGCGTCTTGTACTAATTATAAAACTAAAAATGCAAGTAGTAGAGTAATAAGCGGTATAAATTTGGCAATTTAATGCTTTTGTGTTGACGGCCATGTTCCTAGTACGAATACTCAATGTACAACACATGAAACAGGAAAAATTGATAATTACCTAAAATACTAAAGAGGTTAGCAAGCTACATCGAAGAAAAAAAGCATGTTGTTGATGTAGTAAAGCTTCTTTTTGTTCGAAATTACCGATAAGCGAAAACTTCAAATATAGACGTAATGCATTCGGTTATTCTTATTGTGAGTAGATTTCCTTAGTATCCAAACCCTCACCCTCAGTCACATTTACCTTGATTGAATTCATATATTGCATTCATGTTAGAAAAACGTCTTAGTTGATTGGACCTGGAACTGTTTGACAAAGCTTACAGATATGTATGATAGTGAACGATTTGTCAACGTGCTGAAAAGATATTAGATAATGCGCAAATACGACATGATTTACAACAAATCACTCGATATCGACACTCCAGTGAATGGTTAATTGGATCCGTTTTCTTTGGGTTAAATAAATAAAAGTAAAAAAAAACTTTATATAAAATACATGTAATAAAGCATTGTATGATGAAGAAATACTTTTGTCACGTGGATGATATAGATGGGATATTTGTGTGTCATTTGAGTAAGCTTTGTGCCGCACTGTTCCATCACGTTACAAAGATTATTGGTAAAATCATCATCATCAGATATTGATTTTGAAAATAAATAAAATTTGGCTGCACATGTGTTACAATGAATCAATACTTCGTATGGATGTGTCTCTTTATTGTCGATAAAAATATGTACTAGTTTATTCGTGAGAAACATGTAAAATAAAAGTATCATCTCTGATCTCGCCTTCGAAAAGCCAACTCGTGGAATTGTTTTTGACATCTGTCGACGATAATCATTCGTTTATTTCTTAGTTTTTACATTTGGAAACATCCCTCTAGAAACGATCTTTTCTTGAGAAAAGGCGTTTTACCCAGCAAAATTCACATAAAGGGTACTGCCATTGCAGCAAGTTCATACAAAGTATATCAACATCATATTCAATAGAAAAACTAACTTCATCTTTTTAAGAGGATGGTGTTGTTATAGTTGCTGCTGATAGTCGATGTACTACCGGAACGATCATTTTTGATGATTAATTATGTCTTGAAAGTCCATCGTTTATCCGACGATATTGATTCATTTGGTGCAGGAAGATCAACTGATTGTGATTTTCAAGCACGTTTACTTGAATCTCAACTTGAACTATTGAAATTAAATCAAGATCGGCAAGTTCGTGTTGCAACAGCCGCTAGAAAAATTCAACAACATTGCCTTAGGTCAATATTTCCTCTTATTTGTTCACTTTTCCATACGAATCTTCCTTCTTTCAGGGATCAAGGTTATCTCGGTGCTTCCGTTTGTCGCATCAGATTCAAGCGGTTACATACTCTTGTCCTAATTGTTAGAAAACCGCATTTTCGTAGGAAGAAGAAGTCAAACAATTAGCCCGTGATGTTTTGTATTCGGTAGTAAAATCAATATGTATGTTTTAACAAACGAAAAACTGGATCATTTTTTACCGTAGGAAATTGTTGGTGTTCGATCAAACAAGTAAAAAGATTCATCGGAGATCACTTTGTTCATTCTTGGTTTTTGTTTGAATAAAATGATTATACGTTAGCCAAAGGCGCAACTCAAGCTTTGTCAGCAGACGTGAAAAAAGTTGAATTCGATATCGCTAATGAGAACGACAAGGCACCCGCAGAAACTATTCAAACAATAGAACTTTTACAGATCATTCGTTCCATCTAAACATGATTCAGCAAAACTGACACTTTCATTTTTCTGCTTCTTGCACAAAATACAATTGGATCTTGGATTTCAAATAGACCGCTAAACGATGAACCTTATACCATGATATTCAGACAACAAAACTCGAAACAGAGTAATAGGAAACAATAAGTCGAACATCTATTAGAAATGATCATTACATGAACATTTTCCATCTGAGAAATGATGAATACGATTCGCATCACGAATGACAATTTCACATCGACGAATTCGACTGATCAGCTTGATTGCAGCATCTGTAACAAGCAGAAATCCAAAGAGAAAAACATATTTTCCATTTATCCTAATCTCCACTTACGACAATCACCACAAATGCGAAGATTCTTCACAATTTGAATTCGCGGTGGAACTGGTCGCTGAATAAAATTATATGCAAGTGCCAACCTTTCACTGTGGCTGTTGAGAATGGATGCGACAGTTTCACCGGCCATCATTTCACGCGTTATCCAACTTGAATCGAATTTGTGGCCGTGTTCAATGAGTTCTTTTTCGATTCGATGAAGTTCATCGTAGATTTCTTCTGTTCGTGGATGGGTTCGATCTTTGACACGAAACTCCTGCAAGATAAATACGTAGATGAACGAACATTAATCTAACAGAAAACTCCTCTTTACCACAATTTCACCGTTGACTTCCGTCCAAGATAAACCCACTTTTTTCCTAATACCTGATTGCTCCATTTCAAACCTTAGCTGTGATGCTTCTTCCAAGTCACCTGACGATGCTAAGATATTTGTGAAAAGCACTGAAGCCGATGCGAAGCTATCGTTGTCAACATGGCCCAGTTGTCTGATTCGTTGAGTGATTTGTCGTGCAAGGGAAACATCGTTTCGATTGCGTGCACCGGACAGCACGGACACTAAAGTTGAAAGGACAACGTTATCCACCTCGATTATTCAACATGAAATGAACATCTTCTCATAGGACAACTTACTGTACATAAGTAGATAAGGGGGCTGATGCCGCTCAAACTCTTCGATCAACTGTTTTGCTTCATCGAAGAAAAACGAACGACTCAAACAATCTATCTAAATAAAGAAACGTGTAGTTTCGACATTTGATGTTAATATCGATTTAGTTACCATCGCTGTATAAATATAATTGCTTTTGGTTGGAATTTTTGCAAAAATTGAACGGCATTCGTTAACAAGACCTGAATGTGAACAAGCATTCAACGCACAGACATGTGTTTTTTCATTCTTCATTTCTGCTGGCATTCGATGATACAGCTGAACTGCATCATAGCCCATTCCATTCAGCCCATATGCATTAACTAATCAAAGCAATTTATAAATGGGCAGATTAACAAGGCAACTTACTCATAGAAGTATACAGGGCACAATTAGGTGTATCGATTTGGTCAAAGATTTGTTTAGCTTCCTTTACACATGCTACTTTGCCCTGATTAGTTACAGGAAAGTATTAAACAAATAAACAAATGAGATATTCCCTACCCACATATGAATTAAGGTAGTTTGAAGGTCCGGATCAGATAACATCGAAGACGGAATTTGACTTGCAATCAATCGACAACGAGATTCCAGTCCTAGTTCAGCACACGCACTGATCACCAGAAGAAAAATAACTGAATTCGCTGCAATCTTCTCATTCTTCATTTTTTCATAGAGATTGATAGTTTTCATAGGCATATCATGATCATTATAACATTTCATCATTTGTCCATAAGTAATTACAATCCGTTTCATTCGATCGAATACTTGCTCTGCATTTGAAATGTCACCACACTTGATGAACATATCAAAGGCAGTGACCACAGTGTACTCGTGCTTACGATGAATATCTGACGTCGAAGACCATACTCGTTTGCCAAAATCTAATGCTTCAGCAGTTCGAACTTGAGCACAGCTGTTAAACAGAAGACCGAGAACAATTTCATCTTGGTCATCCGCATTTTTGAACGTCTCGATTGCTTTTTCAGGCATGTTATTTCGTATAAAACCTAAGGAAGAAATATACTTTCCATATAAGTATAATAGATAGAATGAATCTGGTAACCTTTCATCATCGCACCATAGTGAACCATGTTTTTATTGACACATGAATCGAAAACACGTTGAGCATCGTTCACTCGACCACATTGCACTGTAAAATTTCAACTGTAACAATGAGAATTCATACGAACAATGCAAATTTACTATAGAAATGTATAAGTGACGTTTGAACATAGATGTCATTTTTAAGTTGACTTGAGAGCTTTTTGTGAATGTTTTGACCCCGTTCAAGAGAACCTAATTGAGTACAGGCTTTGAGTGCTTGAACAATGATTCTATCTGTTAATGTTCCATGATTTTGATGCTTGTCGAAGAGATCAAGTGTTTTGGTGAATTGTTTTTTCTGGTTAAGTCTTCTCATTTCCAATTCAATATTCAGTTGAGGTGAACTCACGATTGTACGCATAATGGTGTAATAGTGTGATTTCACTAGGCGGAATGGAACAACAAATGAGACAGCCATCTCAAATAAAAGATCAATCGAAGTAGATGAATGGATTGTCAATACTTTTACAAAAAGTGAAAGGTCCGAATGAATATACTGAACGCTCAGAAAATGATTAGCTGAAAATCATCGTGTGATAAGCTTATCTTTTCAAAACCTTCATTTATAGGCAGATGTCAGACAGGAGCAGTTGGGATGATAAATCGATGAAATAGTTTCTTTCTTGTACGCATTCAGATCGTATTCGATCTTGAGGGTGTGGGTGGGCGAAAATTTTTTTATGATTGGAATAGATAGAGCCCATTGAGCTCTACTTGGAACGAATGTGATCAGAGTTGGAATACACTCGTGTGCGAATCCGTTCCAGAAAAGGTCGAATCCGTGTCCAATTTATCCTACATCGAAAATATTCGATATGAAATATTCGGTGTACCAACGACGCTCATTATACCAAAAACTATTCTGAAATTCTTTCAAGCTTTCTTCATTAATATTGTTTTGTTGAAAATCATTGACGTTAAATTTGAATTTGGAATTCTTTAAATGTCGTAACGAAGATACTATCGAAGTTTTCCATCTAGAAGCATCTATGATACTCGGATCATGAAAACTGAATAGTATCAAATTTTCTAAATTTGGTGCTCGTTCTAATAACTGAGATAGATAATCAATGCTACTGTTTAAGCAATCAATATGTAACGTTTTCATATTATTTACAAGACTCTTATTATTTCCAATAGAATTTATTGTCGCATTTGTCACATCACCTGAAACATTTTCTATTCGCAAATACTTCAGTTTGGGCATATTAGTGAATAGAACAAATAAATCGTCCAAACCACAGCCAAAGATCGATAAATGCACAATCGATGACCATTGACCACCTGAAATCGTTTCAGGGATTGATGCTGATAGTGTGATCAATGTTTGTATTTGTGACACTGGTAAGAGAAACATTATATTAGCAGATAATTCATGACAATCAATCGAATGAAAAGAAGATATTTGTGGTATTAAAGATAATTCTGATTGAATTAATCTTGAATTATTTTTTGTTAACTTGTGTATCGTTAACGAACGAAGATGAGAAAATTGTAAAAGTTAAAATCGTGAAAGAAATAAATGAATTGGATAACATGCGTTTTCATTTCATAAATTTAACGAATAAAGTTGTTTTTTGATTGTTTCATCAGATGATAATTTCTTACAAAATTGTTCACATTGAAATTTATTTTGAACATTTTGTAAACTTAAAGCGAATGGAATATTTCTGATGAGAATATTGAATTGAGAATTTAATTGATCAAATGAATGAAAAATATCGATGATATTGAGATAATGAAAAGATTGAAGTGATATTCCTTTAGGTAATAATTCAAATTTTGTTGATACCATCGCGATAGTATAATTTGTCGATGGTGAAATAACGTGTTTTGATTCTTCTGTTCGCAATACAAATGACTCATGACACTTCACAAGCTATTCGAGTAGTAAGTGCATTGCTCAAGTGTGAAAGATGTCGTTTTTACTGTGGTAGATCAATGTATAATCAGCAATACTCAAATTATTATTTTATTCCTTTTTGTGAGAGGGTGAGAGTGGACAGATGTTTCACTTTTATTACTTATAGCCAAACGCATGTCATCATCAACATCGCGAAAAAAAGAAATACTTTTTTGCTTTACCGATAAATAATCGCCGTATGAGTTTTTCGTTCTCTTCTGAAAATACGACGAAAAAATTCTTTTTATCGCTTTCTTTCGTACTTCTGTTCTTTACATCCGTTATCAGATGTTTACCTTGGAATAAACCAACACAGTATTTCTGATATAAAATAAATTGGCGTTTTCAAATCTCGAAAGCAAAATAGCATTGTTATATACTACGTTTTGTAATGACAGATTCAACAATTGCGACCATCTGGCTAGATCAAATGTCTAGTACTGCTGCTACTGTTGCTGCGACAATGCATCTTTCTCTATGTAAGATTGATCCTTACTTAATGAGATTTAGTAACTCTGATCGATGTTTTGATTACATTACTCATATCAACCAAATTGAAACCCAAATCATTCTCATAATTTCTTGTGATAGTACAAATGATTTATCTTATTCATTGTTAAAACGATGTGATGANACCATCTGGCTAGATCAAATGTCTAGTACTGCTGCTACTGTTGCTGCGACAATGCATCTTTCTCTATGTAAGATTGATCCTTACTTAATGAGATTTAGTAACTCTGATCGATGTTTTGATTACATTACTCATATCAACCAAATTGAAACCCAAATCATTCTCATAATTTCTTGTGATAGTACAAATGATTTATCTTATTCATTGTTAAAACGATGTGATGAATCATCACGAATTTCTGCAGTTCATACGTTCTCACTTACACAAGGTACAACTATCTACAGTGAAGTCCTTTCGAATACAACTAAAATGCATGGTCCCTATACAGATATTTCTGAATTGTGTAATCAGCTGAAACAATTGCCCTACATAAAAAAGAAGTGTGCAGAGAGAAAGGAAATTTATCGGCAGACCTTTTGGCTCGACTATTTACCTGTAACGGCTTCTACTGAAAACCAATGTTCATCACCAATCATAGATAAGACAGCTGTACGTCAAGAAGCTGATTTTATGTACTGTTCGTTCTTAAGAGAAATTTTACTTCGAATTGATTCTACAGAAGAAGAAATAATTACATTTTGTAGGCAACGATGTGCTGGTAATGAAAAAGATCTCGATGTTATTGAAGAGTTCGAACTTCACTACGTAGCACATAATGCAGTTTTCTGGTTTACGAGAGATACATTTCTCTTTCGTATATTAAATAAAGCATTACGAGAATTGGACATAAATAGTCTCTATTCATTGAGATATTTTATCAGAGATGTACATTTACAGTTAGAAAATCTACATTTTGAACAATTACTATCATCATCACCGGAAACCAATACTACGTCAAATCAAGCTCTGCCGGCTGAAGTATATCGAGGACAATTAATGGACAACAACGAATTTGACAAGAAAATTCGACATAATATCGGCGGATTCCTTTCAGTAAGCTCTTTTCTTTCGACAACACCACTTAAAACCTTGGCTACTGTATATGCTGGTGATGGTACCAGAACAGAGCATTCCCAGAGTGTCTTATTTGAGATTAAAATTGATCAAAATGTTAACAAGTTCCCCTATGCTAATATTTCG